GATGGATGGATGCATAATATTTAGGGGTTAAAATGACAGTAAATTATTTCTAAAACAGCACGGGGTTTATTAGGGGGTCCGTTGTAAGGGGTCCCCAGACCCAAAAAGTTTGAGAACCCCTGCTTTAGATAATATTAAAAATAGTACAACCGGATTGATAAATGCTTACAAAAATTAACTTCACTTGATTGAACAGCATAAGTCAAAAGCTTGCTGTTTGTTAAGMCTTCAACTTATTTAATGTTGTGCACACACATGATGGTGCACACCCACAGGTTTGATGAGGATACATTTAAAGGGATACTTCTATATTAATAATAAAAATACACAAGTGATATGTTTGGTGGCAGCATGGCAGAGCAGTGGTAAGCTCTGTCAAAGCTTGCTGCTGGTCAGCAAGCTTTTTGCCAAATTATTATTTTTCATTTGTCAATAGTGGAGTCCTCTTGGGGACTTAATCCACGAAGCCCATTATCATAATGGTTGGTGCAATCAGAAAGTGACATGACTTGACCGTAGTGTGCAGTTTAAATGGTTTTGGATGATGTCCTTGGCTTTATTTTTACCTTTCGCACTAATYAACCTGGGGTTGCATTTCCTCTTGCAGCCACGGTCTGGGAGGTTGGCTACTGTTCCATGATCTTGTACTTTTCAATAAAGTTGGCGTCTGTGGTCAAAAGAACATGAAACTACTTGAAGATGGTTTTGCAGCCTTTACCTTGAACATGGCTATCTTTAATCGTCTTGATCACACATCAACAAACAACACATCAATATTTAAGTTCTATTTAAGCTGATGAAAAGCTTGGATGTACCTATGATAAGACACTTAAGGTCTCCACATGCTCCACCTGAAGCAGAACAGTTGACACACAATCACATGGTTGTTCTGCATTAGTTTTAGTACATACCTTTCATAGCGCTTGAAACACACTGTGCCAGATTTGAAGTTGTAAACAAAATGACACAATTTTCATGCAACTGTGACAATGAGAGTCRATTTTGGCTGTTCGGACAATGCAGAGGCCTTCAGTTTAAAGCATATTGCAAGAMTTAAAAGATTTTTTGTAGGGAACATGAACTCTAGCCATACTAATTTAGCATATCTTAAGTATCAACAAATAATTAATTTTCAATTTTTTTGTTTATTTTTCAGTTTATCACTCACTGAAGACATGCCGTTTGACATCAGATAATTCTTTTTAATAAATAAATTTTGATTTTGAGAAATAATACATTGTTTTAATAAGTTGTAAGACAAGTTGTCATATCATTTTGTGCATTGCCTTTGTAAAAAAAAACAAAAAAGTTATGGCACATTGTGGAAACACCTAGTTGCACTTCCAGAGATTAGATATCCAGTTGAGCTTTTCATTTGCATAAAACTGAAGTCTTTGATGGAACTCAAGGGTTTCCAGGATCTGTACCTTATTATTATTTTTAAATAAATAAATAAAACTGTAAAAAAAAATCACAATACCTCAACAACTTTGAGATTCAAATCTTTTTAGGTACAAATTTCACTCATATATCTTTAAGTTTGAGGGAAAAAAACTTTTTAAAGAATCTTCTCTTACCATCTTCTCTCACACGGCTCATAAGTGAGAGAATTTTTCTAACAAAGTCTAGTTTTTTCTTAGGATGAAGAGCACCTGTCAGTCATCTTGGGTAACACACACCACTGGTTTTCCCCATGGAGTACCCCGTTCTGGGAAGTGATGCATCTAAAGATATCTGTATGGAAGTGTACTGTGATGTTTAGGGACATTTCATGCTGTCCATTTAAAATTACGCTTTAAATGGGTGTGGTAAACACATATTTTTAATGCTTCAGGCATCTTTTTTTATTTTATTTTACCAAACATGTTGGTTTATTAAAACTCGAAAAGGTAGAAAAAGGTTTACATAGCTGAGTTATTGGTGGTCAGTGAGTTGAGGGARGTCTTTGTAACTTGATCATGTTTTGATAACCACACATTTTTATTTTTGGTCCAAATTGAATAAAAAGGCAAAAGGACATGTTTGCCTCCAGCCAGTGGGGCACAACTCATTGACCCTTCTGGTCTTTACAGTACATGAAGAATAACTGACGTTTGAGCTTACAGGTTTTGATGAGCATCTTAGTGAGGTTAGTCCTCCAAGTGTGTCCTCAAAAAAAAACAAAAAAAAACAACAACAACATTGTCTAAAAGTATTGTTTCTGGAAAAGCAGGTGAAAATTATGATGAGATTTTATGTGAACGTAAGATATTGCAAGGCCTCTCTGTTATTCTCAGTTGGCACAAAAAAAGCATGAACTTTTTATTAATGTGAGACATTTCTTCCCAAGAAGATTGTTGCTGTTTGTTTGCTCAGTATTGCATGTTTTTTTTTTTCCACGATAGGAAAGCTGACTGTACTTTGGCTAGACTGTAATTTTGAGTGCTTCTTTGTATGTTTTATTTATTTATTTATGTATTTATGTCTGGGTTGGTTGTAAATGTAAAAACCTCTTATACGTTTAAGGTTTATCTTAAATGATCAGTTTAAACCTCATCCTGATCTACGGTCATACCATTGACATTTTAATGATTTAAAATGATAAAACTATAGACAACATACAACATAAATGTCCAATATTACCACGAAAAAGAGAGTAATTGCTCAAATAATTGGAGGTGTAAGAAAATTTCGATACACTGAAATATYGCAATATTTCATTTCCCAATACTGTATCGATTCTCTACATCACTGTATCCATTTTCAATTAAGGCTTAAAATGTCAACTTTAATGCCAGCATTTCATTCTTGTATTGTAATTTAGCCTCCAATTAATAGCCAGCAGCAGTCAGCCAGCCATTTGGCTCCTCTACTCCTGAGGAGCCTGAGAGTATAATGCTAGCTCAAATATTAGCGTTGTGAGTAAACGTTAGCACAAAGTAAGGATGGCTGGATCTGAGCTGATAAGACACACCCTCTGCCTTCAAAGCTTAGRTAGAGTTGCCAGCTATCCCATATTACCCGGAATGTCCCWTATTTTAAGCCAAATTGMAGTGYCCCAGGACGCTCTTTCTCCCAAATGCAGCTTGCAAGCAGAGCCGTCAGCTAAAGGAGGTCTCCGAGGGACGGTACTGAAGTGGCCAAATGCAWCGACCATGTAAAACACTGAGGACATTGAATTGACTGGCATACTCACACTACCCCATTAAGTGAAAGGAATCCCATGACACTGACACAGACTGAAGCTTCATTTATTGGCTATTGTTAGGGTGGAGGGTGACCACATTTTTAATAATTAATATTATAAATCTAAAGACTGCCACAAATATATTATCAAACTATTAGACATGTTTTACCTAACCATAGAAAACATGCATTAAATAAGAAATATGATACATATAAAAGACATATAAACATACAGAGTTTTTTTATTATAACTTTTGGAGAAAATATGGTGACGTATCGCCTTGCTTACAGTATTGCAATATACATATTGTATCGTGACCCATGTGTCAAAAATATCATATCACCAAATTCTTACTAA